TTTTCCAGAGCTGAAATGATTTTGCAACAGAGAAGGAAACGAGGTCATGGGTGGTGGCTTGGAATGCTGTTTTCTAGAGACAATATATGGTATGTAAAAGGTTTAGCTGATTTTGAATATAAGCCACCACTGATCCTTTATGTCTTCAGTGTAACTGATTCCACAAGCTAGGCCAATATCCTTAGTTTACTATCTCACAATGCATCATTAGGGTTGTGATTTTGGTAACAGTCTCTAAAATACCTCCAGGAAAACAAGGGATAATTACAACCACCATCTACATACTTTCCAAATGTGGATTTCCAGTCCACATCACTATCCAGAGCTCTGTCTGTAGATATCCAGCTGCCAAATGCACCAGCTCAGGAACAAGCAACTCAAGCTCAGTTTGCCAAAAACAGAATTCATTTTCTTTCCCACAAGCTTTTTTGCTATTGTGGATTCTCTCATTGTTCATGGGATCATCATTAACTCATGTTTTCCTAACTAGAAACTCAAGGGACATCCTAGACATCTCCCTCATTCTTTACATCCAGTGGGTCATCAAGTCCTATAGATTCAGCCTTCCAAGCATCTCTCCATCTCTTCTCCCAGTGTCTAATTCAATACTTCTTAATTTCTCCTCTGGCTTCCTGCAGTAACCTCATAAGTAGATTTATGGCCTCTGGTCTTGCTCGTTTACAATCCCCTCCACAATGAAGTCACAGGATCTTTAAAAAACTGAGTATCTGCTCAAGGCATTTTACTGCTTAAAGACCTTTAAACGGCTCCCCGTAGCTTTCAGGTAAACTACCAACTCCTTAATGCATTTAGACCCTTCATGACTTGGCCCCTGTCTAGGTCCCCAGCCTCATATGTCTCTTTTCACACTAATCCACTCTCTTTTTCTACAACGTTTGTTATTATAACTAATAATAGTTAACATCTATGGAGTCCTTACTCTGAGCCAAGAACTATGCTAAATGCTTTACATAAGCCTTTTGCAAATTTTTCTGATGATGCATATCACCTGGGGTCTTTGCTAAAAATACAATTCTTGGTCTTCATCCCAGACCCATTAAATAATAATCTTCAGGGAAGGAACCTGGGAAACTATTTTAAAAAAGCATCATGGGTGTGATGCTTATTACATGGGAAGTTTGGGGAAAAACTACTTTATACAAACTTTCATTTAATCCTCCTAAAAATGTAGTCCCAGCTATAGATAGCAAAACTGAGGCTGAAGAAGGCAAGTGATTTTTCCAAAGACACATGGTTACTGATTAGCATTATTAGGACTTGAACCTAGGCATCTGACACGAGAGTTTACACCACTGTCATGTTCTAATACACCCTACTTGTAAATCAACACATGCACTGCATTCACTCTCCTCTGTGCCACTTCTGCCCTTCCACTTGGAAAGGCATTTTCTCATCGTTGCCTGGCTAACTACTATAACCCTCATGATTCAACTCAGACTGAAGCCTTTCTTAGCCTCCCCAGACTGGCTTGGTTGTCTCCTTATGCACCGTTTTGTTGACAAAACACATCATCATGTATTTCCTTATCTGCTCCCCTGCCAGACTATACCAGTTACTGTCAAGTTGATTCTGACTCACCGTGACCCACGTGTGTCAGAGAACTGTGATCCACAGGAGTCTCAATGGCTGATTTTTAAAAAATAGATTGCCAGGCTTTTTTGCTGAGGTACCTCTGGGTGGACTCAAACCTATAATCTTTTGGTTAACAGCTGTGCACTTAACAGTTTTCACCACCCGGGGACTCCTACCAGATTATAAAGGGCACATCCAAGTCCTTCTGTATCTTTTGTTCAGCAGTGCCTGACATATACTAGGTATACCAGAAATATCTGTTCAATGAATTAAAAATATAGTAAGTCACTTAGGTTGTCAAGGGCCTGGGGCTTAGATGCTATGCATGGATGGAGCTAGGGTTACTCCAGCAAATTATTTGTTTTCAGATGCTGAGTGTTACCTCTTAGAACCAGTCTAAGCACTTTTTGAATGCACTAGTTTTCATCCTGGGAGCATCTTAATAAAGATGTGATTGGGAATCCAACTCATTCCTTTTGAAGTTCAAAGGAATGAAACATGCATGATATATTACAGTATCCTCGATCAAGACCAGTTAAGAGGCAAGGACAACAAAGGTCTCAGAAAGAGACAATATTATATGGGAAGGGGAAACCTGAGCGGGCGATGTGGACTCAACACAAGAGTTCAGAGTGTCAGAGGGAAATGTTGACATGGATTAAAGGCATGCTTGATTTAGACATCCCAATGCCTTGGGCACACTTTGTGGAAATGGAAGTAGGTGTAAAACAAAAATTAAAATAAGAATGGAAGTAGTGTTTTCACTCGCTCTAAGGCAACAGACAGAGATCTGCAGTGGTGGCAGTGATGAAGACTTAGCACAGGTGGCTTTGTTAGGTCCAAAAATTTATGGACTAAAAATCTGTACTACCAGAGTTTCAGTAAATGGTAACACTGAGAATTCCCTTTTCAGCAGAGGTAAGGAAGGTGTCTTAGTCATCTAGTACTGCCGTAACAGAAATACTGCAAGTGGATGGCTTTAACAAGGAGAAATTTATTTTTTTCATGGACTAGTAGGCTAGAAGTCCAAATTCAGGGAATCAGCTCCAGGGGATGGCTTTCTCTGTCAGCTCTGGAGGAAGGTCCTTTTCATCACTCTTCCCCTGGACTAGGAGCTTCTCTGCGCAGGAACCCCGGGTCCAAAAGATGCACTCTGCTCCCAGCGCTGCTTTCTTGGTGGTATGAGGTCCCCAAATCTCTGCTTGCTTCCCTTTCCTTTTATCTCTTGTAAGATAAAAGGTGGCGCAGGCCACACCCCAGGGAAACTCCCTTTACGTGGGATCAAGGATGTGACCCTAGTAAGTGTGTTAGAATCCCACCCTAATCATCTTTAACAAAATTACAATCACAAAATGGAGGACAACCACACAGTACTGGGAATCATTGCCTAACCAAGTTGACACATATTTTTGAGGGACACAGTTCAGTCCATGACACTCTACCCTTTGGTTCCCAAAAATTCATGTCCTTGCCACATGTAAAACACATTCACCCCATCATATCATAGTAAAAGTCTTAAATCAGCTCCAAGTCCAAAATCCAAAAAATTCTTTTTCATCTGTGAAATCTAGAATAGGAGTTATCTGCTTCCAAAGGTACAATGGCCGAACTGGCACAGGCTAGACATTTCCATTACAAATGGGAGAAACTGGAGGGAAAGAAGGGATAACAAGCTCCAAGAAAGTCAGCAGAACACATTACATTAGCCCTCAAGACTTTGCAAATAATCCTCTGTTCTCTGAGAGAATTTACACAATGACCCTGCCTTCCAGACACTACATATTGGCTGCACTCTCTAGATTCTGAGTGGAGGCCCCTCGGCCCTGGTTTCAGCTCTGCCTTCCAGGCCCACTGGGATGGCAACTCTGCCCCCTCGGCTTTAGGCACACCATTCTCCTAGTCCATCTGAGTGGCAACTCCACCCTTAGAAATGCTAGAGGCCATGGCTCCACCCTTTGAAACCCCAGAGGTTGTGGCCATACCTTTTGAGACTGAGCAGCTCGCCTTCCTGTGTTCCTTGTCTCTTCAGCTTCTGCTTCCTGGTTTCTTGGCCTCTTGGCTCCTCAGGCCTCACGCCTGCATCTGCCCTGCTGGGGCAAGTGTTCCAAAGCATAGCTCCACCATTAGTGCCTGGAGGCGCCCTACTCCACCAGTAAACTTTGTCTGGAAGGCACTGAGCTCTCTCGTTCCTTGGGTCAGCAAGCCTAGCTCCACCGATAAGTGCTGGGAAGCGCCCTACTCCACCAGGAAGCCTCCTGCACACAGACACTCCGCTCTCTCCTCCATTGGTCAGCTCTAGCACTGTCTGGCGCTGGTCTCCTGGTTTTGCTGCTGCCAGTTCTCTGCCGCTGCTGCTTCTCTGCTGCTGCAGGTTCTCTGCTGCTGCTGGTCCTCTGTTGCTGCCACTCTCTATCCATTCGCAGTTTCACATTTTAGGTATCTATTAGAGCAGCACCCCACTCCTGGTACCAAATTCTGTCTTAGTCATCTAGTGCTGCTATAACAGAAATACCACAAGTGGATGGCTTTAACAAGGAGAAATTTATTTTCTCTCAGTCAAGTAGGCTAGAAGTCCAAGTTCAGGGTGTCAGCTCCAGGGGAAGGCTTTCTCTCTCTGTTGGCTCTGGAGGAAGGTCCTTCTCATCAATATTCACCTGGACTAGGAGCTTCTTTGCATAGGAACCCCGAGTCCAAAGGATGTGCTCTGCTCCCAGCACTGCTTCCTTGGTGGTATGAGGTCCCCAAATCTCTGCTTGCTTCCCTTTCCTTTTATCTCTTGTAAGATAAAAGGTGGCACAGGCCACATCCCAAGGAAACTCCCTTTACATTGGATCAAGTATGTGACCTTAGTAAGGGTGTTACAATTCTGCCCTAATCCTCTTTCACATAAAATTACAATCACGAAATGGAGGACAACCACACAGTACTGGGAATCATGGCCTAACTTAGTTGACACGTATTTTTGAGGGGCACAATTCAATCCATGACAGAAGGGTTGGGGTTCAACAGGAATGGAACTTCCATAAGTGTCAGTGATACCTGTGTTCCACCATCTGGGACAAGCCAGTGGGCACAGAAGAACAAGACCAGCATCTGAGGTTGTCCAGAGGTTAGCAGATGCCATGTCCATTCTTGAGTGTTATACCCATCTTGGTTCAACCTCTCCCAGCATCTTGGTTCTACCTCTCCCAGTTGGTCGTTGAAGGTAAGGAATAAAGAAAATTAATTCATGGCCAGGTGTAAGCAATGAGGGCAGTTCTTGGGAATATTTATTTGGGCAAGAGAACCTTAGGAGACTATATTTTCTGTTAATTTGACATTTTTGGGTTTGATGTCTTAATTTAAGTAATAAAGAAAATGTTGAGATCATCAGGTTGGTGAGGTCTGGATGTTTAGGTAATAGAATTCTATAATAAAAGTGAACAAACAGATCTTTGAAAACATAAAGTCTTTTTGTAGGCATGCTTAAGACAGTTAAATGCACACTGAGAAATGAGACTCTATAGGCAAAGGAGTAAAACACATTTTACTTGAAACAAGTTTTATTCAAAACAAGTTGTATCTGAAATACAAAGATCATTTGAAACAAAAGTTTTGTTTAAAACAAAAAGCTTTATCTGAAGAAAAGTTTTATTTGATACGAAAACTATTTGCAGGCGTTCTGGAGACTCTCACATGTGAAGAAAAGAAATTAGACTATATGCGTAACAAAACCGAAGGGGTGCTTTCTTTGGAAAAGAGAGAACTCTGCCATAACATCTAAAAAGTCAATGATGTATATGATTACAAGAAAAGAGTACACTTAGGAAAGAGTTATGTGTTCAATGTCAAAGAAATTAATATCTAAATGATTCGGATAGTGGTCTGTGGACCCAAATAAACTTGCCCTATCTTACTAAATACACCAATTGCAATCTTACTAAAATTATAGACAGGAGATTCATTTTCCATTTTCAACACTCTGTCTTAAGATACGAAGCCTTGACATCACCACATCCCAGTCTGCATAAGCTCCTTCTAGATGGCGGGATATCTCTGTTCCTGCTTCATAGCTCTGTCGGCCGTGAAGTAAGCGCCAGTTATCAAAAGTAATCACATCACCTAGATAAAAGATTTTTTCAATATGAATAATCATGTGTTTAAATGATTTGCATAGCTATAAAAAGTAACATACAAAATACCCTTGCTACTTGTTTCACATCAGGAAGCAGTTAATTTTTTTCTTCCCATAAAATTGCATGTTCACTTTTTCACAGAAATCAGCCCACTGAACACAAACTGCTTTAGGCTTTATGACATTTAAGCTACACAGTCTGGCAGTGCTTTTACAATTATCTTACTTAAGAAAAATGATCTGTGCAAACCTTTTGAATTATTCCTACTGATGTCATTTATCTCTTAATCAGAAATGTTTCTTCTCAGTTTAACAGATTCAAATAATCATTAAAATAGTGACATTTTTAGTTTATAGCATTTCATGCACATTATTTCTAACTTTCCAAAGAATCCTAGAGTATTATTTCATCTTTTCGTACATAGAAAACAGACCTCAAGAGGTTGAGGGATTTGTCGTAAGCTGCACTACTATTTGTAATTATGGCATTGGCAAAGAATGTTGAATACACCATGGACTGCCAGAAGAATGAACAAATCTGTCTTGGAAGAAGTACAGTCAGAATGCTCATTGGAAGCAAGGATGGCGAGACTTTGTCTCACATACTTTGGACATGTTATGAGGAGGGACCAGTCCCTGGAGAAGGACATCATGCTTGGTAAGGTAGAAGGTCAGTGAAAAAGAGGAAGACTCTCAACAAGATGGAACGGCAGAGTGGCTGCCAACAGTGGGCTCAAACATAGCAACAATTGTGAGGATGGTGCAGTACTGAGCATTGTTTCATTCTGTTGTACATAGGGTCGCTATGAGTCAGAACCGACTTGACGGCATCTAACAATAGCAACAACACACTACTATTAAATAGTGGAGCTCAGATTCCAACTCCTATCTTTTTGGATTTTACTCCCATGGCATTTTCATTTTATCACATTTTCTCTCTCAAAATCAATCTGCTGGGACTATATGGCAGTGGATTTATGGAGGTTTCTAGTATTACTTTATTATGACAAAAGATCAATTTAAACTGTAATCACAAGTGAAAAGAATCTTCCAGTTGGCCATATCAACAGCAGAGAGAAATTATTTACTATTGATATAAAAAAAGATTCAAGTATGGTGGCACTGTATTGAATAGAAATGGTCCAAAAACCGCATAATGCTTTATGATTTTTTTTTCAAGTAGCTGAAATACTTCAAGTGCTACTTTATTTCAAGTAATACTATCTTTGCTAGTAAGTTTAACAGATAAACATGAAGTACCTTTTGGTGAGAATTTGGGGATAATTTTTACTGGTTTACCAGGATAAGCACTAAGGATAAGCCTCAGTTTATACTGAGTTATCAAGATATAAGATTATCGGTCTATCATATGAGAATTTTATCTGGTCTATGACTTCTATCTCAAATATTTATTCTTTATGTTGGAAGTTCTTAAATTTCAATGTGCTTAAAAATTACCTACAGGTCCCTGGGTATGCTCAACTACTAACCTAAATGTTAGCGGTTCCAACCCACCTAGCTGTGGAAGAAAGGTCTGATGATCTGCTTCTGTAAAGATTACTGCCAAGAAAACCCTATGGAGTAGTTCTACTCTAACACAGGGGGACGTCATAAGTTGGAATAGACTCAACAGCAACCTGTTTTGTTTTGTTTTATTTTAGTAAGGATTAACCGGGGAGCTTGTTAAGAATGAGTATTTTTGAGTGAAGAGAGCAGGGGTGGGGGCCAGCAGTCTGCTATTTAAGCAGGTCTCTTGTTCATCATCATTTTGTTGTAAGCGTTCCTCATGCCGTGCTTGAGAAAAACTGGTCTCGATATCTATCACTTTAGATGGTTAAGTTGAAGAAAAATCCATCCTTCAATTGTTTAAGAAAATGTATTCACTGACCTGGATTCATCTTGAAGGTGAACTTGAACTCTTTGCAGTTCATGAGATCAACAAACTCCTTCAGAGCAGCATAAAATGGCTGAACTCTTTCAACAGGTACATCAAATATGGTGTCTCTGGTAGCGTTATTGAAGTTGATTCGAACCACTTGGCCTTTATCATCTAACCTGATTTTTTTAAGGGAAAAATTTTAAATGCATAGTTCATGAAGTATCTTTTTACATTTCTAAGGCTCAATTCCTCTTGGAAGATATTTCTGAAACACAGTATTAAAGAATCCAAATACATGTACAGAAGATATTAAGGTTACCTGCAGTACAATGTATACATTCATTTTTCTTCATTCATTCATTTAGCAAGTGGTTTTCCCAATCTTACCAGAAGTGCCAGAAAGATTCAACCTAATTTAAAATAAATGTTGCTAAGAGATTCAAGTTGAAAAGTTTGTTATGCTTAGTGAAATCCATTCATTCTTTGTATCGTGGGAATCATTATGATGTTGTCTATTACATCACATTTTATAAAGATCAATAGGAAAAATTTATTTCAGGTTTCAGAAGTATCTTGAATCTTGTAACTGATTATGCTCCCTCCTTCCTTTGATCTCTAGAAGCTCAGAGCTGAAATTGACATCTATCACCAGTAAGTGTGCTGGATTTTATGGTGATTACAGCTAGTTAACATTTATTCTCAGCTTTCTGAGCCAGGAACTATGGTAAGGACTTCCATACGTTATCTTTATAATTCCCACAAAAATTGTATGTGGTAGGTATTAGTATTAGTTCCCATTTATGAGACTGAGGCTCAGCAATGGTAAGCAACCTGCCTGAGATTGCACAGCTACCAAGTGGAAGAGTTGTGTTTCATGTGATTGAGTTTGTAACCACTGATATGCTCTCCAATAGCTTAATCTCATCATTATTCCCTTTGCCCCAGTTTCATTACTTTTTACCGTATTGCATTATACCTAATTCTGTCAGCAACCTCAAAGACTTCTTTGTACTAGGCAGGACATAGACATTTTCAAAGAATTTTAAAATTTAATCACTAGAAAAATTATATTACACCAAACATTCAGGAGATGGGAGCCCTAGGTTACCTGAAAACCTACTTTGTTTCGTCTTCTATTGAAAATATATTAAGTGGATTGATGTTAACCACTAAGGATATCCTGAAACCTTGCTCATGGCCACATTTGGTAATTTGGTAATAACAGTGCCAAGTCATGATTCAGATGGTGGACATTCAGTTAATCTCACTCAATAGCTAAATTTCTTACATCTGTTCACTAGTCTTGCAGAATGTGCAATCATATTTTGCCATGACAAAATTACATCTTACTATATGTCATAGACTTTTCAGGTAACTTTTGAATAGTCAAAACTGCTTTGTTATAAGTGGGAATGTCCAGAGTTATTTCTTCTCGTCCCTGTCTTGATGACTGAGTTCTCAGATGTTTCTCAGGGTTATTCGGAACCAGACTTTATCCTTGATGTCTATTTTTCTCTCACACCCCTCATCTAATCTTTCAGGAAAATATACTGTTTCTGCCTTCTAAATATATTCAGGAACTGATGTATTTTAACACTGTCACTGCTACCACTTAAACTACTCAGATCCAAGGCACCATCATCTCTAACCTACAGTCCTATAGTAAGTTCCTGACTGGTCTCTCCGTGCTGCCTGCTCAAATCTCCTTCTACACTGTATTCAGCACAGTCGCCAGGGTTATCAGTTTAAAATGTAAATCAGATATGCGTCTCTTCTGGTCAAAATCTTTCAGCTTCTCACTATTTCACTCAGAGTAAAATCCAATGTTCTTATAATGGTTTACATGGCCGTATATGAACTCACCCTCATCTGACCTCCTCTCCTGATACTTTCCCCCTCACTCACTCTACTCCAGCCATACTGAACTTCTTAACTGTTCCTTGGACATGGCAGACATGTTCTTAGGGACTTCCTAGGGCCTTTGTTTAGCAGACTCCTCTGCTTGGAACACTCTACTGGGAAAACTCCCTTACTCTTTAAGTCTTTGCTCAAATCTTGTCTACTCAGTGAAGCTTTCCCTTACCATCCTATTTAATTATACAAAGTTTCATCCTCCCCAAGTCTCTGGTCCTTCAGATTCCCCTTAACTGGCCCTAGTTTTCCTTGTTTCTAAAGCACTTAAAAAATTTTTAACATTCACTATAATTTACTCATTTGTTTTAAAATTTTTTACTCTTTGAGTCAGAATTGATTCTAGGCAATGGGTTTGGTTTGGTTTCTTCTCCGTTAGAATGTAAGCTACACATGAGTAGAGATCTTGGGCTGTTTTGTTTACCGATGTTTCCCAAGCATCAAAAACAGTGGCTGGCCTATGTGGACATGAGAGGGCCGAATTCAAATTCTGGGGATTTGATTATCTACTAGATGATTTTATTTTCGTATTTTTTGGCTATTTCTCTTAAAAAGAAGAATATAAACTCAATTCTGAAATTGGAAACACTCCAAAAATTCATTAACTGAGGTCTGATTAAATGAACCATGTCCTAGGAACACAATGTAAACTAATTTTCAAATAAAAGACCTTGTGGCCTTTGTAGGTATTTGGAAAAATCATGATGAAAAAGATAGAACCCAGAATGCACTATGCAAAGAATGTATAATTTTTGTTGGCTTAGCATTTTTTCAGGGAGACATTTTTGTTTCCTTTTCAGTTCATGTGGCTCTGTTGGGGCTAATCCTGCTGCAGAGGCCCAGAGATAAATATGTGATCCAGGCATGGCCAGTTAGAATTCTCCAATCCTTGGCCATGGTGATGACCTCAAGAATAGATATGGACATAGCTTGGGTAGTGAGTCATCTAGCCTTGTTGGAGCTACTGGGAAATAAGTGTTCTCCTTCAGCTGTGATTACCAGCTGTAAAGATAATGTCAACTTGGAGCTTCTGTTGACTATTTTTGAGAATGAATCCAACACAGAGAATGGCAAAACTAAAAGGTAAGAAAAAAAGAGACCAATTCCAGATGACATTGATTATCCCCTGGCTTTACCTAATTTGAGTTAGACTTTTTCACTTCTAAGAATTCTGACTAGTGAAATTACATTGATTACAAGTATGTAGAACTTATATTTTGAAAACTAAGTGTAGAAAATGTATATCCACATAAAAACCTGCATAGGAATTTTTATAGCAGGTTTGTTTTATAACTACCCAAAACTGGAAGCAACCAAGATGTCCTTCAATAGGTGAATGGGTAGATAATACTCCATAAATGCATCCATACAATGGAGTATTATTCAGTGATAAGAAGAAATGAGCTGTCAAACTATGAAAAAACATAGAGGAATCATAAATGTATATTGCTAAGCGAAAAAAAGCCAGTCCAAAAAAATGACATACTGTATGATTTTACCTATATAACATTCTGGGAAGGCAAAACTATAGAGATAGAAACAGATCCATGGTTGCCAGTGGTTCAGGGAGAGGGGAGAAGGAAAGGAAGAATAGGAGAAGCATGAGGCATTTTGGGGGCAGTGACACTATTCTGTATAATACTGCGATGGTAGACACATGACATCACACGTTTGTTAAAGCCCATCGGACTGTACAACATGAAGAGTGATCCCTAATGTAAACTATGGACTTTAGTTAATAATAGTCTATATTAGTTCATGAATTATAGCAATTGTACCATAGGGATGAAATATATTAATAATAGGAGAAACAGTGTGTGCAGGGATGAGGGCATATATGGGAACTCTCTGTATTTTCTGCACATTTTCTTCTGTGAACCTAAAACTTCTCTAAAAAATAAAATGCGTTAAAAAATGAAGTTTACATGAAGTCTTCGTATCACCTCCTCTTAGACTGAGAGAAATTGGAGACTTCATGTGATTTGATAAAGAATTGTTTTATGGTAAAAAGTTTCTTTTTTTTTTCTCTGTCATTCTAAAATTGGGTTAAAGAGTTAATGAAAAATAATGCTCTGGGGTTAATCGAAGCTCTTTGCTGTTTAAGCTTTAGGTTAACAGAGTTTTTTTTCTGTCAACTTTTTTATTGCTATGACAAATTTATAAATAACACTTACTCTATAATTTTGTGCTTGGATTGTACAGAGAAATCACAATAATCCACTCCAATGTCTGCAAAGACCACAAAGGTGGAGGACAAAATCTGGAATGCCTGAGGATTTTTTTCCTTGAGCTTTCGGCATACATTAAACCCATCGACAATTTCTGAATCACCTCCAGTGACTGTTTGCTTTATGCAGTGCAGAAACTGAACCTGTGAAAAAGAAATGAGAAATATGGTTTAAAATGATATGCACTTGCTTTTTTTCTCCAACCTGTCTTTGACAGATTCGCTGAGATGATTAGTTTGGCTGTTGACCCTGGGGTTTTAGAAAATCTCTGGACCATATTTAAAATAAATCACATTGCGTTCCCCCGCCCCCATCCCCACCCAAAAAGTTGACTATAGGGTTCATTTCACTGTCATCATTTAGTTCAAAGAAATCATGTGATGTTTCACAATCAACAAAATAATTTAAAACATGTGAAGCCAAAAACTAGACTAGTTTAGCTAATACTGGCAAGAACAATGGGTAACAGCAGGGGCACGGAGAAAACATACCGATAAGAAAACATCAGTCAACATGATGAAAAAAAAGACTAATTTTTGGCTTTGGTCTAGTTCTCCTTCATTAACTAGAGCATTGCCCAGATTTTCCACTTACTTTTGAAGATAGAGATTTGTGTTTGGTTATTTCGTTTAGACAGTTTAGCTCTAAAAATAGAGACAAAATATCTTTTAAAAAGTAAATTCCCTGATCATTTACTTTCTGGTTTAACAAAACGATGATTTTGTAAAAATGTAGCTGGTTTAAAGAAATATGCCAACTTTATAAATATGTAATGGGATTCTCCAGTGGAATTAGTCGCTCCACACACAGCATCTCTCTCCTTGAGGAGGAACCTAATAGATGGGATGGTACATGGGTTTTTCTCTTTCTTGTATTCATACCCCTTTGTAATGTATCTTTGTAGCTCCTCCCACAAGATATGGAGTCTATTGCTCCACCTACTGAATCTGAGCCAGATTTGTGACTTGCTTTGACCAATAAACATTGCAGAAGTAATATTGGGCTGATTCTTAGCCTAGTCCTTCGGAGACCTTGCATACTTTGGCTGACTCTCTGGAAACTCTGCAAGCTGCTATGTGCACAAAGCCTAAGCTAGCCTGCTGGAGAATGATAGACTGTGTGGAGCAGAAACAAGCCATCTCAGCAGAAGTCAAAATAGGCCAACCAGTCCTTATCCTATTCAGCAGTTGACTGCAGGTATACGAACACAGACTAGAAGAACTGCCCAGCTGAACTTAGCCCAAATTATGAAAACATGAGCAAAGAAAATGCTGTTGTTTTAAGCCATTAAGTTATAGAGTAGGTGTTTATGCTGCAATAGCTAACTGATAACAAATGATGACCATGTGACTTTGTACGAAAGCCCAACATTGTGCTCTGGGATTTTATTTTCTCTTTACCTCTCTTGGAAGTGGTATATGTGCAAAGAGACCCCAAAGTGTACTGCTGTAATGAAATCTCTCTTGGCAAACTGAAAGGTGCCAATAATTACTTCCAGGAAGAAATAAATATTTTAAAAATGCATAAAAATCTTTTATCCCTTTGGAATGTGAGGATTTAGGTAAAGAGATTTCGCAAATTTGGATTGTTTAGAGAAAGAAAATCCTCATAAGACACATTAGCTAATGGAACATATAATCTTCTAGACTCAAAATACAAATAGATAAAAATATTGGTCCTTGGCTTGCCTTGTGGAAAATATCTTGAGGCTCACCTTACCCCAGGTGGATGATGAAGAGCTGGATAATCAGTATGAAAGCTTAACTTCCCAGTTGTATAAGCGACATTGTTTGCGTCGATTTTGTCTTGCACTTGCCAAGTATGTCTGTAAAATACAAGAAACACATATTTAAACAGGCTGTCACTATGCCAGAGGAAATGTGTCAGAATGAACTTGATACATGAGGGCAACGGAAACTTTTCATTTTATGAAGTAATTAACATAATGACTAGGAGCTTGGAAGAGGGTCTGACCATTCTTTGTCCAAAATGGCCATTTCAGAAATAGAATCTCCTCATTTCTCATCTCCTCTGAGCAAAATAATACATTTAAACATTACTACAGAGTTCATAAAGAAGTGAACACGTGATTGTAGGCTGTTTTTTAAATAGCATGATGAATTTTTAATTTTATTCTTGTAGCTACCACTGGCTGGTACAACTTTACCAATCATCCTAGAAGCCCGCCATGTGCCTTCCATGTGTCCTGTCCCAGTCACAATCCCCTCTCTCTGACAGTTATTATTTCTTTGTACTTCATAGTTGTATCACCCATATGTGTATCCCTAGACATTATGTTCCACCACTCATCTGTCAGTCTGTTGTACTGTTGTGGTTTGCATGTTGCTGTGATGCTGGAAGCTATGCCACCGATATTTCAAGTACCAGCAAGGTCCTCCCTGGTGGAAAGGTTTCAACAGAGCTTCCAGACTAAGACAGACTAAGAAGAAAGACCTGGAAATTTACTTCTGAAAAAACTGGCTGGTGAAAACCTTACGAATAACAGCAGAACATTGTCTGATATAGTACCAGAAGATGAGCCCTCAGATTGGAAGACACTCAAAATATGACTGGGGAAGAGCTGCCTCCTCAAAGTAGAGTTGACCTTAATGACGTGGATGGAGCAAAGCTTTCAGGACCTTCATTTGCTGATGTGGCACAACTCATCAAATGAGAAGAAACAGGTGCAAACATCCATTAATGATTAGAATGTGGAATGTATGAAGTATGAATCTAGGAAAATTGGAAGTTGTCAAAAGTGAAATGGAATGCATAAAGATGGATATCTTAGGCGTTAGTGAGCTGAAATGGACTGGTATTGGCCATGCTGAATCAGACAATCATATGGTCTACTATGCTGGGAATGACAACTTGAAGAGGAATGGCATAACATTCATCGTCAAAAAGAACACGCCAAGATTTTTATCCTGAAGTACAATGCTGTCAGTGATAGGATATTATCCATAGGCCTACAAGGAAGACCAGTTAATACGACTACTATTCAAATGTACACACCCACTACTAATGCCAAATATGAAGAAATTCAAGAATTTACCAACTTCTGCTGTCTGAAATGAATCAAACATGCAAAGAAGATGCATTGATAATTACTGGTAATTGGAATGTGAAAGTTGGAAACAAAGAAGAAAGATCAGTAGTTGGAAAATATAGCCTTGGTAATAGAAATGAGGCTAGAGATCACATGATAGAATTCTGTTAGACCAACGACTTCTTCATTGCAAATACCTTTTTCAACCACATGAACAGTGACTATACAGGTGAACCTCACTGGATGGAATACACAGGAATCAAATCCACTACATCTGTGGGAAGAGATGATGGAGAATCTCAATATCATCAGTCAGAACAAGGCCAGGGGCCGACTGTGGAACCGACCATCAATTGCTCATATGCAAGTTCAAGTTGGAGCTGAAGAAATTAATAAAACTAGTGCACAAGGGTCAAAGTACAAACTTGAGTATATCCCACTTGAATTTAGAGACAATGTCAAGAATAGATTTGACCCAGTGAACACTAATTACTGAAGGCTAGATAAGTTGTAGGATGACATCAAGACATTATACAGGAAGAAAGCAAAAGGTCATTAGAAAGACAGGAAAGAAAGAAAAAGTCCAAAATGGATGTCAGAAGAGACTCTGAAACTTGCTCTTGAACACAGAGTAGCTAAAAGCGAATGGAAGAAATGGTGAAGTAAAAGAGCTGAACAGAAGATCTCAAAGGACAGCTTGAGAAGACAAAGTAAAGTATTATAATGAAATGTGCAAAGACCTGGAGTTAAAAAACCAAAAGTGAAGAACATGCTCAGCATTTCTCAAGCTGAAAGAACTGAAGAAAAAATTCAAGCCTCGAGTGGAAATATTGAAGGATTCTATGGGCAAAATATTGAACAACACAAGAAGCATCAAAAGAAGATGGAAGAAATACACAGAGTCACTGTAGTGAAAAGATTTGGTTGACGTTCAACCATTTCAGGAGGTAGCATATGATCAAGAACTGATGGCACTAAAGGAAGAAATCCAAGCTGCAAAAACAAGACAAAAAACAAGGCTCCAGGAATTGATGGAATACCGACTGAGATGTTTCAACAAATGGATGCAACGCTAGAGGTGCTCACTCGTCTATACCAAGAAATTTGGAAGACAGTTACCTGGTCAACTGACTGGGAGGATCCATCTATGCACCCATTCCAAAGAAAGGTTATCCAACAGAGTGCAGAAATTATCAAACAATATCATTAATATTGCACACAAGTAAAATTCTGTTGAAGATAATTTAAAAATGGTTGCAGCAGTACATCAACAAAGAACTGCCAGAAATTCAGGCTGGATTCAGAAAAGGATGTGGAAGGACAGATATCATTTCTGATATCAGGTAGATCTTGGCTGAAAGCAGAGAATACAAGAAAGATGTTTACCCTTGTTTTATTGACTATGCAAAGGTGTTTGACTGTGTGGCTCATAAATCATGAATAACATTGCAAAGAATGGGAATTCCAGAACAGTTATTTGTGCTCATGAGGAACCTGTATATAGAACAAGAAGCAGTCGTTCAAACAGAACAAAGGGATACTGCATGGTCTAAAATCAGGAAAGGTGTGTGTCAGGGTTGTATCCTTTCACCATATTTATTCAATCTGTATGCTTAGCAAATAATCCCAGAAGGTGGACTATATGAAGAAGAACATGGCATCAGGATTGGAGGAAGACTCATTAACAACCTGTGATATGCAGATGACACAGCCTTGCTTGCTGAAAGTGATGAGAACTTGAAGTCCTTACTGATGAAGATCAAAGACTACAGCCTTCAGTATGGATTATTACACCTCAACATAGAGAAAACAAAAATCCTCACAACTGGACTTATAAACAACATCATGATAAATGGAGAGAATATTGAAGTTGTCACAAATTTGATTTTACTTGGATCCACAATGAATGCCCACGGAAGCACTAGTCAAGAAATCAAACAGCATATTGCATTGGGCAAATCTGCAAAAGGCCTCTTTCAAGTGTTAAAAAGCAAAGATGTCACTTTGCTTTTTAACACTTTAAAAAAGTGAGACTGACCCAAGCCATGATATTTTCAATTGCCTCATAAGCATGTGAAAGCTGGACAGTGACTAAGAAAGACTGAAGAAGAACTGATGTCTTTGAATCATGGGCTTGAAGAAGATTATTGAGTATACCATGGACTGCCAGAAGAACGAACAAATCTATCCTGGAGGAAGTACAGCCAGAATGCACCTTAGAAGTGAGGATAGTGAGACTTCGTCTCACATACTTTGGACATGTTATCAGGAGGGATCAGTCCCTGGAGAAAGATTTCGTGCTTGGTAAACTAGAGGGTCAGCGAAAAGGAGGAAGACCCTCAACAAGATGGATTGACACAATAATTGCAACAATGGACTCAAATATAGCAATGATTGTGAGGATGGCGCAAGACCAGGCAGTGCTTCATTCTGTTGTACATAGGGTCCCTGTGAGTTGGAATTGACTTGATGGCACCTAACAACAATAACAGACGCTATGTTTAACCTTACTCATTAAAAAAGTTATGTTTAATTTATATTTTATTTAGTCTTCTAATCTACAAGTTTCCCTTCTACCCCTTTCTCCTCATTATAATTTTTTTGTTTGAAGAATTTAGGGAATTTGACACAGAGCTAGGCTGCTACTGCTCCATCAGTCTTTATTGGTACTTGAATTCACTTCTTTTAGAGTGAACAAAAACCTCTCCCTGTTTTAGCTTCTCTTTTCAAATTGACTTGCCAAACTTTCCAGTGAATACCAATCGGTCACTGTAGGGCTGTATTTTTCTTAGGTCTTTAAGATGCCTTGTGATTCCTTCTTTTTTCTCCAACATGGACATCAATACCATACCAGTCTTGTGAATGTTGGTGATATGTCCTTATCAGTTCATATTTTGGGGTTTGCGAGGATACTTTTTCTTTTATCTCTCTTGTAAATGTTTTCCTTTTTTTTTTTTGGCTCTTCTATCTAGTTGCTGTGATTGTTTTATGTGAGGATTTGGAGGCATTGAAAAACATGCCTCTTTCCCTGGATATGAATTAGTTTGATTTTGAGCTTGATGGTATTGATCACCTACTACGTGCAAAGCCCTAAGCACGGATGAGGATCTTTTATCATATAAAGAGTGAAGGTGGTTGTTGTTAGGTGCTGTCAAGTCAACTCATAGTGACCCCATGTGACAGAGTGAATGTTGTTGTTGTTGTTGTTAGGTTCCATTGAATGGGTTCTGACTCATAGCAACCCCATGTACAACAGAGCAAAACACTGCCAGTCCTGTGCCATCCTCACAATTGTTGTTATGCTTGAGTCCACTGTGTCAATCCATCTTGTTGAGGGTCTTCCTCTTTTTTGCTGACCCTCTACTTTACCAAGCATGATGTCCTTCTCCAGGGACTGATAACATGTCTGAAGTATGTGAGACGTAGTCTCGCCATCCTTGCTTCTAAGGAGCATCCTGGCTGTACTTCTTCCAAGACAGATTTGTGCGTTCTTTTGGCAGTCAATGGTATATCATAAATTAATGTCCCAGTTTCACAACTAGCCTTCGGAAAATAATTTTTGCCCCTCTCTATGTAAAATCAAGAAATCGAATAAGCTCAGCTGTTTCTAAATTGTGTATGTAGTAAGTTAACAGGAGTTATTTGCTAAAAAGGTTGCGTGGTCAAATACAAATTTGGGAATGTTGAGTTAAAAATTTTGCACAGGCCTGTAGGATTTTTTGAGAGTTAATATGCTGTGGTTATAGTGACTCGGAGCCCTGGTGGTGCAGCGGTTA